TCTCTCTCTCTTTTTGCTGTATTAATTCGGAGAAGAAATTAACTACAATGACCCTGATGGAAAAAAATACTACTGCAAATGTATATGAAACCTGTTGACCAGAGGTAATCCACGCTGGATTACATGTTATGTGTTCCAGCGAATGACCCTCGACTTCACTTATAAATTTTAAAAACATTGCATTTTTGTGCACACTCGAGAGCGTGCTGTACTTTTTTTTAGCTTGTTTTATAAATATCAATACGCTCGAGTATGAAAAAAACATTTTTGATTTTGAGTGACTCGCAATCGAGTTAAGAGGTCATATTTTAAACATTTCGCTCGATAAAAATTTATAAAAATAACTCACGGCAAATTATTAACTGTTTAAGGATGTTGGGGACGCAATCGAGTTCAAATCAGCAAATATCAAGAAACAGCTGAAGGTAAATAATTGATTTAACAAGGTGGGTCGGTGGTATCATAGGCTCAAAGCCAATACGCATGCTATCACGCGTATTTTTGTTCGATGCTAACTTCTCGAGTTAAATTGCAAGTAGAGCCAGCACAAAATCTTTTTATTTTTATAAAATTTCTCTGAAATATGTTAGTGCAGAGACTATACAACCGACACCGTTGAAAAGGTAATTATTTCATCTACAATTACGCGAAATTTGGTCACGATCTCCCAAATTAATCTCAAGTTATATTAAAAATTGTGCGAGAAATCGTTCACGCTTCTATGATAGCCATGTTAAAAAGTGTACTCTTGAAATTAAAATTTACCAAATTTAACTCGACAAACGAAGCTGAAATTTCAAGAGAAAATTATAAGGGGTTTGAACTATCAATTTCCGAAGTTTCAACTTTGTGGCTCATCTTGATCCAAAGGTCAGCCAACGTACTTAACAAATAATCTTTCGACGTTCGATTTTTTCCAGCGAAAATTTGCCAGCGTTATCCATACATTGTAGCGATCCGAACGTGAAAGAGCAGACGCGCGCGCGCACGCAACGGAAAATAAATAAAAAAAATAAAATGTGTAGATACGTACACGAATATAGAGGATATAACAATGCAATGTCAAATAAAAAAATTTTTCAATGAATTTCACGCGTAAAACCTCTCTCGCTTTCTCACTTTTGCGCTCGCGCGTACGTACCTTTCGCGCGCAGTATGTCTGCGTGAGCACACGTACACGCATATGCAGCGAAAAAGTATATGCAGTCGGTGTACTGTGTACACTATGTAGTTATTCATTTTAACAGATGATTTATCGGCGAGTGAAAATTCGCACGTTGAAAATACCATATAACTGTATATGTGGTTGTACCATAGTGCATCCGTGCGGAGAATTGAAATAATTTATACAAAAATCCGAGAGTTAGGGAGAAGATTCGGAGAAGTACGTGGATTAGCAAACAAAGCGTCTGTCTTTTATGTATACGTGGGTAAACACAAAGAACTATTAATTCCGCTAAATCTCCAGAGGGCATCGGATATACATCGAATAAGAGCCCAAGACGATTGTCGGGGACATATATTGAATTTATATAGGGCAAATAAAGGCGCAGCGGCGCGTCCAGGCAAGACTAAGAGTTTTATTACCTATGTTTTTGTCAAAGAAAAAGAGGCTGGCCGCTTTTGCTACTACATTCTCCTTCGTCTTTTTGTATTTATGCACGTATTTATGTGTGTGTGTGGGTGGGAGCGGAGAACGATATTTTATCGTGACTAAATGCGAGAGCGACACTGCTGCTGCTGCTGGTCTTTTAAACGTTTAAAACTAGAAGAAGCTGCCGCTGCTACTGCTGCTGATGCCGCGGGCACTGTTTGTCGAGGGAGAGAAAAAGCTTTAAAGGCCAGTCTTCGAGGGGCGAGGGGGCTGAAGAGCCAGAAAGAGAGAGAGAGAGAGCAGAAACGAGGAAGAAACACGGTCTACCCTATAGCTGCGAGCCTCGAGGGCTAGCTTCTCTCTTTCTCCCTTGTATATAGTTTACCCGCACTACTGCAGAATTGCCGTATTTCCGGTCGCCCCCTCTATTTTACTCCCTTAATCCCTCGAGCCATAAATTAGCCTGGACGCACATACACACACACGTACTCACAAACACACTAATACATTGAGAGAATGTGAACGAGCCGTTTATAGTGAGACATGTGTGGGTCTTCTCTGCGCGACTAAAAGTCGCTCGTTCTCAATGAAGTATAGGTACCTAAGATGAGAAAGTAGAAAACGGTAGGCACTTGGTTTTTCTTTTCTTTTTTTTGCTTGCTCGCTTCAGACTCTAGAGGACGAATGGTTAGTGTCTCGTGATTATAATACGTAGACTGTTCGTTCACCGTCTACCCCAAACTTTGCCACCTTAGCACAAGAAGTAGAGAGCTTTTTTTGGTGTATACGATTTTTCTTTTTCTATACCCTCTCCACTTTACCTCTCTCTCTCTCTCTCTCTCTCTCTCTTTTCATGCCAATTAGGTAGACGTAAGTTTATGTAAGGGAACGTTTTCAAGACTGAGCTATACTTATACGTATAGACGTTCTTCGTGCTGTTTTTCCGGGCTTTATCGCTCGCGCGGGAGCTTATTTTAACTTTTAAAATAACTATTTCTCACTTTGAAACGAGGAAATTTCGTACACGGCCCAATTTCGACACTGCACACCGGGTAAAATCACTCCTGGAAATTCATTTTATTCGAGAACTCAGCAGTACCAGAGCAGCAGCAGGCAGTAGCACACACGCACGTATTTCGCCGAAGAAGCCTATTGGAAGCATCGCGTACATTATGTATACATTGCATTAGGATAGAGCTTGCAAGCTCGAGCGCGCGCGCGAGCTGTATATTAATGATTTCGACATCGCTGAATGGATAGATAGATAGAGAAACGGTGCTTGGCACACGTCCCTCTTACTCTCTCTCTCTCTCTCTCTCTCTCTCCCCCGTTTTCCCTCCCACTAGCGCATACAATGTCCCGTGCACACTGTGTATATTCGCATAGCAGCGGAACGAACAATAGCTCCTCACTCTCTCTCTGTATGCCATTGCTCCCTCCCTTCTCTTCTTCACATCAATTCGGATGAGTCAATCATGGCTGCATCCTAATTCAACGCTTGAAACATCTCTATGCTCCTATATCTATATGCGCTGGTTACATGGATCTGTACACACACGTGTACGTATTTATGCGCGCGAGCACACACACGTAGAAATATATGTTTACCCTTCTTGAGCGGCGGCGGTGCCTACTATATAGCTCTGCACGACCTCCGCAGTGAATACTTTGCCTCGACCGAGAGCATAGGACGCAATGAAGCGTAAGTTTAATTCCTCATTAAAATAACATCGCTCTGCATTATTTTCCAAGGGGTAATTTTTGCACAAAAAATAAGAGCTCGAGGAATATATGGGACAGAGTCGAGTTCATATATTGACTATTACATTAAAAACAGCTGGAGCATTAAAATTCATAAATCCAGCTCAATGATGCGTACAACATCGGGCCGTATAAAGTTATTTCATTGTCGAGTTTTTGCGCCTGGCAAAATGTCTATTATATAGAGCGGCGGGGGCCGCGTGTCATTAGCAATGAGCATGCGAATTTACGGATGATTAGATTAACCCTAATACGGTGTGTATAGGCGCGTGCATTTAACTAATATATACCGCCGCAGCTGGCGTTTAAAGGCTCGCGCGCTAAATTACATTGCAAACAGATCATATACATGATGCACGAGTGGTTGGTTATACGGATCATATGTATTGCGCGTATATATATAATGAATCGTTATAAGCAGCCATGACGACTAGAATTATTGACGCTGCACAGCCCCCTGTGCGTGCAATATTATATACATAGCGATGTGTATATACAACAGTTACTGTAAGAACTGAAAGCTTAATGATTCGTAAACATAATGCAGCATCGTAGATATAAAACATGTATATCTATATGAATATTTCATTCGCAGCCATGCGTACACACGTACACATAACTCAACATATGCGTTGATGTTCAACGTTGAATGCGCAGTGAGTTTAGCTTGAAAAGCGGTTTCACGCTCGAGAAACTTCATTGCTTCTGCCTGCCTTTCTCTCTCTCTCTTGCTCTCTTACTCTCTTGCTCTCTCTCTCGCGTCGGGATAGATCTCGGCAAAACTTGTGCGAAAGCGAGCGAGTGCGCGCGCGGCAAGGAGAGAGGAGTATTAGCTGTACAATCAAGAACGCGCACAAAGCCGCCCGCCAAGATCTACCCGCGGAATTAGCACTTTTGTCCATATGGCTATAACACGGGGGCGCGCGCTCGCGCCTCGAACTTATACAGCTCCCCCCCGTACACGTAGCTTGGTGTTTTAGCGAATATACACACGCACGCGCCAGCGCAGCGAGGATAATATACTCGCACCGCGAGAGCTTGCCTGTACTTAAAACCCCAGCCGTACTACTGTGCGCCTTATCAAGGCATGTTTCAAAGATCGCGCGCGCTGCGTACAGCTGACTTTACGTACCATACCGAGGCACTCGCGCTTGTATATCTATACATATTTACGCCACATATACTTTGTTTCTTTTGTAATCAAACGCTTTTATTCTCGCAGCCCTTTGCAGCTGCATTAGGATAAAAGAGTTAATCTGTACAAACTCGCAGGTAGAATTTCACCCCCGAGCTTTCATTCGGTCGCGCAAGTGCGAGGCAGAGAGAGAGAGAGAGAGAGGAAGAAAGCTGCGAGCTGGCTCGCGCGCGATGACTTTCTGTTAAAATATTCCAAAGTAAAATTTGAATGCGTAGTTCAGCAGCGTAGAAAATGAAAGAGATAAGGTACTCGTTTGTTTATTTCTGCGCAAAATGTCAGATTGAACGAGCCTGGATTGGATCAACTTTTTTCAGCTGAAAATGCAAGCCACTTTCTTTTTTCTTAATCCCTACTTCATTTTCATGACAACAACAGCAACAACAACAGCAATGGGACAGCGTCAAAATAATACACGCAAACAACTTGGGCGAAAGCAACAAAACTAACCTGCGACACCGGTAGCGCAATAGGATATGTCGATGAGCAGCAACAATGGCAGTGGCAAGAGCAGCAGTTTGGCCACTACGGCGGTAGCCGCTGGATACCGGGGCCGATTCAGCGACATCCATCTAAGATTATCGCCCGCACTCACGCGCAAGCGATTACTCACTCACTATACAGTATGTTTTCTTCTCTACTTTTTTTTTCGAGCGAGCTTTTTTTTAGCTCCAGCTGGCACTGAATCGATTTCAATCAATTATCGGTCGGTCGATATAGTACTTTAAAATTAATCACAAATCATGCTCCCACGAAAGCCGAAAAGGCTTGGACGACGAGGCGAGACACGATCACGAACTCGCTCATGTCTGTGAAAGAAAGAGAAAGAGAGCGAGAGAAAATATGTGCATCCGCACGTTGTGTGTGGGTCGCACGATATATAGAACGATATATGCGGGTTCAACACGCTCTCACGGCTTGAAGGGACGCGAGTTACGCGCGCGTCGAGTCGACGGTGCGGACTGACTGGCGCCAGCATTGAAAGCTCGAGCGCAGGTATGCCAGCCAAGTGGCATGTGTACCAAAGATTGCGACGCTTGCGCAGAAACTTTAGTTCCGCCTTCTATAGCAGAAATTCCTCGCTCACCCTCTGTGTCTCTCTGTTTCTCCCTCTCTCTGTCTCTCTTTCTCTCTCATCTCTTTCGCTCTCTCTCTTGCTTATTCACGCGCATATCAACGTGTAGATTTTCGCGGTTCGTCACGTTCTCGGGCCAGTGTATATGTGCGCTATATGAACTGCGGCCTTTTCCTTCTTGCGCAATACACGTAAACATCGTATACATTCAATTCGCTCGCGCTGCAGACGTCCTCGTGTTCGAGAATCCAGCCGTTGAATATAAAGAGTCGTTTTCTTGAATTAAAAATTTTCTTCTTTTTGAAAAGGCGATGATAGTGCGCGCGATCCCAAAAATGATGAAAATCCCTTTACACCGAATAAAGTATGTAACGCCGCGTTTAAATGCAAAAGCACGAGTGTTCGCAGCTTTAGCATTAATTCATAATAGGCTTTGAGTGCTGAGTGGGGAAAAAAATTCTCGTGCGCGCGTCATATTTACGAATGTTTTAGGGTCTTAGATTAAAAGCACATTTGTCGAAATACCACACGCTCGAATGGAGGAAAAAATATATTCTCGCGCGTCGAGCCGCACTTACGCGCTGAAATCCTGTTTAAATTACAAATGTGAGGCAGGAATAAAATGACCCGCGGTGTATGCCATTTTTAGATTTAATATTAAATAATACTGTACAATAATTTCGCTCGTGCACCAGTGCGAAAGCACGAGCTAGCGCGCGCGTATACGTATAAATGAGCATGAACACAAACATACACACGCACACACGCACACACACTCACACTTATACGCCATAATTTATATCAGACCTTCCGCAGGAGCGGCTCTGTATGAGTATACGTGTGCGAGGTGTATACGTATACGAACGTGCACCGCTTGTATGTGCAGCCCAAGCGTATGCAGTCGTAATCTCGTAAAGCTATCTTATCAAAATGCAACGATAATAATACAAGAAAGGCGAGATAATATACACATACGTGTTGCGAATATCCTTATTTCTTTTTATCAAGTCTTTCTCCATTTGAGCGCTGCCACCAAGCCGGGGGTAATACAATGAAAATCTTTTTTGGTGTCCTTTCTCCCGCAATGAAATTTTTTAATATCACGAAATAGATCTTAAAACGCCTTGCGACATCCGTAGAAATAAAACGGCTCGTCTCAAAGCGTGGATTTAAAAAGCTCGAGCTCTATCTGTATAGATATTAGCTGCAGTAAGCCATGTAAAATGAATCAAAGGTCGGAAATGCATCAGCAGCAGTGGCAACAGCAGAAGAAGAGGCAAAAACACGAGAGCGCGTTAAAAAGTACACGGGGGCGCGCGCGCTCGTAGCATGTACATTTTCACACGCGATAGAGAGAAAAGAGTAAGTTGCTGCCGAGTTCTCCCTTGGGTGCCGCGCCAAGACGTTGCTCGTGCGCGCGCGGCAACGAAGTAATTCGATTTTCAGCCAATGCGCAACGTCGGCGCGTATAAGAGGCATCACTCTCGGCAAAGGCGGCCTGTGCTTGTGCACTGTGCATGCCTTCTCTCTCTCTTTCTCTCTCTCTCTCTCTTTCTCTCTCTTTCTCTCTCAGCGCGAGGAAAAGGAATGTATTGCTCGACTCGAGTTTGTGGCTTCAGCGAGCAGAAAAAGGAGTAAGAGACTGCAGCGATTTGTTACCTAGGTAAAATTTCTCAAGACGCTCGCTCGCGCTCGGACGGAGTCTCTACCCTCTTCTTGCCATCTGCTCCGTAATCTACCGAGATTTCGGCTGGATTTTTTTGCATTATTCATGATCATTAATATGTGGTGAAATTATTGTTAAAATTATCATATCTCCTCGCCTTAGTTTAAAAACTTCCAAAGCATTGACCATAATTTTTAGAAGCAGAGAGAATGAAAGAGTAGAATTGTACAAAAAGGAAATCCTTTAAAAGCGGAGAATGAGCTGTTCAAAGATTTTTTTTCGCTCGCTATCGGAGTCCATTTCACTGATTGATACTCGAGAAAAAGTACGACAATCGTCGCTCAATGACTTGATTAACAAATTTTGATTAAAAGTAACGAGGGACGTAAATCCACAAAGCGATTCGCGATACGTACTCGTTAATAGTTCGGGTCCAAGGAAGAAAAAAGAAGACAAGTTCAATTTCGCGTACCGAAGTCAGAAGACCGAGCGCCACAACATCTTGCTCCCATGGTTTACAGCGGTAGTTGCAGACGTAGCAGCGGCAGCATTAGTAGTGGTATACGCGCTAGGTCAACTCGAAACTTATCTAACTGAACTCGCCCGCGTGCGAGCGAAAGAGAGAGAGGGAGAGAGAGAGTAAAGTTGTGACAAGACGAGAATGACAATAGCCACGAGGCGAGTGTAAATAGCTTTCTACATGAGAAATTACGGCACGGCGCGACGGTATCTTACGTACCGGACCGTATCGTCGTACGACGACTCTGCTATGCACGCGCGATAGCAGCTGCAGCAACAGCGCCCCAAATATAGAATGAGAGCTTGATTGTAAAATCGTGCAGATATTTTCAAACCTCGAGAGTTTATAGGTATACAGTATGCGCTACCTGCCGCACGCTCTGCAGCCCCCAAAAGTCGATACATACGCAGGTCCATCAATTTTGTTAACTCGGCTTGTATACATATTGTATTTCGGTCGAGTGTAAGCGTGTGCACGTATATATACATGCAACATTCACACACACACATACACACACTTGCTCTCATTTGCAATGTGTTCCAAATCGCATTCCCGACATAATATCGTATCCCCGACACTCTGGAATTTCGCTCGTACACTCGCTACACTCCGCGTGCAGCGTGTACAAATACTTAAAGTAACGAGGTGTGTAGGTGTTGCAGCTCGTATAATTAATAGCGCAACTTCAAGTGATTAAATTGTATTTCGTTGCCGTTGCTTGGAAGACGAAGGGAAAAAAAAATTATTTTTATTCGCTCGGGCAAGAATGTCAGCGAGTGACTTGGTTTTGGGCTCGTGGCACGCATTGTACACGCGACTCATCTCGTCGCTAAAATTTTCTCGATCAATTATGAAAAAACTCGAGTAGGGATTTTTCCTCGCGCACTCGACGCGCAAGCTCGTTTTTCGGACTCGCTGACCGAGAGAAGTCGTCATAAACTCAGTTCTCCTTTTACATGGTGAATAGAAACTCTCTATTATAGGGCGCAACTTATCTTTACTTTATTCTCCTTTGTGAGCGCGAGTGGGAATAACAGGGAAAAACGCGTGCCGAGCGCGCAACTTTATGCATCAACAATACCCGGTTTGTGTACTCCGAATTTCTAGTATATCCATTTTCCACATCCTTCCCGTTGATGTCACGATGTTAGATTTGCCGTGCGCAAAACACAATAGATATCGCACATAATAAAGCTTTGTATTTGCACTGCCAACTTTGGATTATTCATCAAAGTCTGAAATTATAATAGCAAAAATTAATTACCCAAATATTTCTTTACAGCTTCTCGCGCGTTCGTGTAATAAGCTACGTCAAATATTTAGGCAGACGCAAATGTGATGCTCGTCTGCTCGATTAATAAAGAGAAATATTCGCGTGATTTATCGACATGCTCACGAGTACACTATCTTACTCGCATTTCTAAACTATCATTTACTCTCCTCTTTGTCTGACCATATTTTGGCTGCACTACTAGCTATTATCGAACTATCGAGGCGCAAAGAAAAAAATGCAATACTTTTACGCATCGCCTGCAACTGATACTACTGATTTCGAGTCTGCATAGAAGCGGACGGCAGTGCTTGCAGTATAGGCAAAATTTGATCGACTAGTATAGCGTTTGCGCAATCAAAATCTTTTATTGTTTTTTTTTTCCTTTTTTTTTAATCAGATAACACGGTAGCGCGTGTACACATACACAGAGGCACGCGTTGCTGCGTCCATCATATCAATCGAACGATCCAGTCGTGCGTACGGCCATAGCAGCTATTCGAGTTGGAGTACGTATAGCGCGCGCATATTTGGATAGAAAATTCGTCATTGGCTCTCCGGGGCGCGCACAAACGCACACATCCACGCATACTCGGCACGGGCTCGGCAGCAGTAGCAGCAGCAGCAGCAGCAGCAGCAGGTACATATATATTTCATAGTTTCGCGTTCGGCTAATACCCGTCGTGCTCTCTTGTGTGCGAGCTCGCTCAATTGATGATAATCACAAATAGTATTAAGTAGTCTCCTCGTTAATGTGTACACGGGGCGACGATACCTCCGCGCGCGTTGCCCGAAACAGACGCACAGACACATTGAGCGTAGTCTGCACCATTGTATATATAGAATACAGCTACACTCAGCTGTAAATGTATGTGTTCTGCGAGTGTTCTCGTACATAATTAAAGTGGCTCGCTAACGTAGATAAGGTCGTGTGAAGCGGCTCTGCGTGCATCTATTACAGCGAGCACGCATATAACCCAGTCCCTCTGTGCGCTGCGACGATTCTGACAAATCGACTCTCTTTCTAGGAGAGCACTGCGTGCTCCACTATGACTGAGTTCTGCGTTGAGTACGCGCCATTCGATAGGTCATGTATTAAAGGACTCTCCTCTCTCTCTATTACTCTCTCTAGCTCACTCACTGCTGTCGGTGGATATATATATACGATAGGGTATATATTAGATGAAAAGTAGCTTTGGATGATGAGGCAGCTCTCGCGTGCCAGTAGCACGCCACTGGCCAATTAGTTCTCCGACTAATGCTACAATGTCGTCGACATCTGGCGGTATGTCGGGGAGACTGAGAGCCAACTCGATCTGACGCGTAGGTTTATATAACACGTCTCTCGGTGTGTATATAA